TGGTGGGCAGCAGACTGCAGTGCAGGGAAATTATTTGTTATGCTGCACTTCTAGGCTCCCACGTCTTTTGCTCTCCGCCTTCACCAACCTGACCTGACCATTGCGGCATAGTCAAATTATATCATCAAAAAGTATGGTCAAGAAAACCCTGACGACCGACACGGTGTCGGGAAGCCCTCTTACAGCAATGTATTGCCAAATGGCCATGCATATGTAGTGACATGGAATTGGTCACTACGTAGCATAGCGCTGGTTGCTGGCAGAGAAGGGGATCTGCAGTTGCAGCAGCCCTGTCTGTCAGCAGGTCACGTGATACACCAGAGAGAAGGATGTAGGGGAAAGGTTACAGAGGGGGCACGTGAGGGAAGCCCGGGAACCCGCTCGTAGGTTCTAGACGAGGAGCGTGGCCGGGCGGAGCGAGGCCACGCTGGGAGGATAAAAGGGAACCCCGAGCGAAAGCGCAGATGGTGCTTGTGTTCAATGTTCTAATTATGAGTTTCTGTTTGTCACACTGTAAGACGCTTCCTGGCAAAAAAACCGAATGCATCTGTGCGGTTACCTCAGAAGGTTATTGCAGGTATTTGGCTCATATTTGAAATATTCTGCTCTGTATTAAAACAGGTTGTGTTCTGTAATTGTCTTTGCACTTCCATGCCTTCTGTGCACAACCAGTTAGAATGTGGACACGTGGCATTTGAGTGCTGGTCTGAGCGTGTCAATGGCTCTTGTAAAGATTCTACAGAAGGACTATATTGCTCAAAACGGCATGTAAGCAGGATGGGCATTGGAGTGGTCTACACGATTCTGACGGCCAAGGGGAAGAGACCGAACAGTGGATGGTGGGAGACTGTTAGGGCAGAACGATGGCTCTATGTAAGTCGATGGGTCTCTCTGTGAGTCTGTGGGTCTCTCTGTGAGTCTAAGTCTAAGGCCAAATCATAGGAGACTGTTGAGGCAAGTCTTGGATATAACCACTGTTGACTTCCCCAAGATGAGGTGATAATTCGTATCAAACTCTTATCGGATGATGGGCTAGTCAACCCCAACCCAGGATTTCAACTCGCAAACTTCAGATTGCGAGCCACTCTACCGAGGAGTCACCTGGTCGATGAACAAGATGCATTCCAAAAGAACGTATTCATGTTGGAAAACCAAATACTGCATCCTATAAAACCTCATTGTTGTGGCGTAGAAAACGTAACACAACTTGTCAACAAGGCGATACGGAGCCCATATGTTAACATCCACATTCCAATAAGTTTTTTTGGGTTAGATCGCGTAAATATAAATGTGTCGTTAAACCCGCCACCAGCCCACACACCAGCGTGTTGGAGAATAAACCCACAACGTTCCGCCGGTAATTACAACCAGCCTCATCAGGGCAACAGCAAATTGTGGCTGCCACCTGATGGTGCTGAATGTAATCACCGGTAAAACGTACTCGAAGTGTAAATGTTATGGGTTTACTCTCCAACACACTGGTGTGCTGAACTAGTAACGAATTGCATGTTGACATGACAAACCTTATAATTGGCTGTGGCAGGTTTAAAAAAAACATTTATATTGACACGATCTAACCCCCCAAAACCCCCCCTCTATTATGGATAATATTAGTAGCTAAGGCCTACGTGTGAATCCAAATACCCCACTGATGTACAGCATTGCCAGTTTACACCAGACAAACTCTGCCGGCACATTACGTTCGTGGGACAAGCCCGGCTTGCTGTAATTATGGAATATTCCAGCGTCAACCCGACAAGGCACCACGTGATGCCCCCAGCCCCCACAGGCACGATGTCGCCTTTCGGCAGCCAAAGTGTAAACACGGCACTTGTGATGTCTTCAGTGGCCGGGTTGTGAATTTACACGCTCCGATATTGAGTCGGGCAGTCCACACAAGCATGTGGAGAGCGCGCCCTTGGGAGGAGTTTGGGCCTTCTTACAATCTTAATTTTTGTTACATTTATTTTTTACATCGTGTGTCATGCATTATGAGTTTTGATTAGGTTAATTTTAATATATGCTGTATACATCTATTCGATTCCATTGAGATGGTACATTCATCCAGCAGTGGATAGAGTGATTCGATTACCGTACAGTGTGATTCTAATAATTCTAATACGATTCTAATTCTACACATATCTCGTCAAGGAACATAAACCAGCATGATTAGGATAGCCATCGAACAAAGACGGTCACCGCATCGCGCGCTTTCAGATGTGCTTCTGCGGCCGTCTGGAACGCTCTTCCTTCCGGTATTGGAAAACCACTGGTGCTGTGTACTTTTAAATCTGGATTGAAAACTCATTTCTTTAAAACAGATTTTTGTGTTTAGTTTGTTGTACTTCCCCCACAACCCCGATTAGCACGGTTGACTACGTACGGTGCCAAATAAATTTTAGATATATACAGTACATACATATTTATTCAGGAGCACTTCCGTTTGCAAATGGCTCAAGTTCCATGCGAATAATCAGAATCTGTTTTTATATGATGGGCAACTTAAGTCACGTAGAAAATTATAATTGTATGAAAAATGTATTGCTTTACAAAAGGAGACACTACTTCTCCTTTCCATATCTGTGCAAGTAATAAATACAAGTATTTTTTTCCGCATCCCATCAGCTACACAGCCATCTGGGAGTGCATTATTTCAGCAGCAATTGGTTAAACACAATAAAACGTGATGGCTTATGGTCGACATACACTGAACTATGGATACTAAACTATCTGGCTACGTGTTACTACCCTCTGGTGGACATAAATAATACTATTGTATTTCGATTTAAAGCTTTCGTGACTGCAGGGATTCATCTTCTTGGTTCTTTCGGTAAAGTCACGTAGAATGGAAATAATAAAACAACAAAAAATAAAACATAATAAAATTATTCTCACGACGTTTCGGCCACAACGCAAGCAGCCGTCCCCAGGTGGAGAGCAGGTCTGTCATTCAGGCTCTACTCGACAGACCTGCCCTCTACCTGAGGACGGCTGCTTGCGTTGTGACCGAAACGTCGTGAGAATCATTTTATTATGTTTTATTTTATTATTTTATTACTTCCCTTCTACGTGACTTTACCGAAAGAACCAAGAAGATGGTATTTAATTTTTTGCCGTTTCTGTAGCTATCTAATTAATTGTTGAACTTTCACAGAGTCCCTAATCACTGGCAGGCCTCTGCCGGTGTCTGTGACTGTGCGATGCCCTCTCTATATAGGGCGCTGTAATACGATAAAAGCGGGCGTGAATTTTCATTTGGATTTTTTAAAATTTCGCGGGCAAATCAATGAGCAGAATCAATAACATTTAATAAATGCATGTGCTTATTTTGTGATCGAGATGTCGTGAGAATCATTTTATTATGTTTTATTTTTTGTTGTTTTATTATTTCCATTCTACGTGACTTTACCGAAAGAACCAAGAAGAATACTAGCAAACTTCGACATTGAATATAGCTCCTTTACGATTAAACTACAATACTGTGCCGTATTGTACTGGTAACACGATGCCCTCTGGTGGCACTAACGCCAAAGCGTTAGGTGAAAGCAAACATTAAAAAAGTGGAAAATTTAATTTTTTGGGAAAAATTAAATTTTTTGGGGGAAAAAAAACACGGGTTATGTTCGTTGAAAAATGTGACATTTACGACTTTTTTTTTAAATAGATAGCATACTAAGCATCAACACGGCGCCTCAACATTCATAGTGGTTATATTGAGCCTAAACTTGATTTGAAGCTTTCGTGACTGCACGAATTATACTCTTTGGTTCTTTCGATAAAGTCACGTAGAAAGAAAATAAATTAAATAATAGAATACGACGTTTCGATTGCAACACAAGCAACCGTCATCAGGTAGAACTAAATTTGACAGACAAAACACAGACACGGAGACACACAGACACACAAGCAGAGACAACACGAAGACACACAGAGAGAGACACAACATAGACACAGAGACCCAATGCCTCTGTGTCGAGGCCTTAAATAGAGAGGGGGGGGCAGAGAGAGAGGTGGGTCTGCTGGAGCAGAAAGATAAGCATGTCAATGAAAGACCCAACAAGACTGGTACATTTATTGAGCCTGTTTAACACGTAGACTTTCGCGACCAATATCATCCATAATAGAGGTTTTTGGGCTAAATCGCGTAAATGTGTCGTTAAAACCCGCCACCACCAGCAAGACTGCTCCACAAATCTGGTTGTCGCCTGATGAAGCTAGTTGTAATTACCGGCGAAACGTCGTACTCAGATTGTAAATGTCGTGGCTTGGCTCTCCAACACACCGGCTAGTGCTGTACTAGTATACTACACTATACACTAGTGCTGTACTCGTGACGAATTGGCCACGTTCTGTTGACGTGACAACCCTTACTAGTTGGCTGTGTCGGGTGGTGGCGGGTTTTAAGGACACATTTATATATTTACGCGATCTAACCCAAAAACCTCTATTATGGATGTATTGAGCCTGTTGCGTTTGTGCCGTGTCGAGTGTGGGGTCTGTGCTGTGTCTGTGCTGCATCGACTCCGCCGTGTTGACTCTGTTGTCCGTGCCTGCTCCTGTCGACTTGAACGTCTCCGACTACTCTGCCTTTTTTGGAAGAGGCAGCCGCTTTCCCGTCGACACGCCCCCTTGCAGTTCGACACGCCCCTTGCAGTTCGACACGCCCCCTTGCAGTTCGACACGCCCCTTGCAGTTCGACACGCCCCCTTGCAGTTCGACACGCCCCCTTGCAGTTCGACACGCCCTTGCAGTTCGACACGCCCCCTTGCAGTTCGACACGCCCCCTTGCAGTTCGACACGCCCCTTGCAGTTCGACACGCCCCCTTGCAGTTCGACACGCCCCCTTGCAGTTCAACACGCCCCTTGCAATTCGACACGCCCCCTTGCAGTTCGACACGCCCCCTTGCAGTTCGACACGCCCTCTTCCGGCTTCGGAAGAAGACCCTTCCGCCACACAGCTCGAGGCGCCGACACGTGGAGCGGAGCGCGCAACTGCGGAGATGTTCCTGCAGTTCTACGTCGACGAGGCGGGCGAGCGGGTCTACACCCTCAAGGTGAGCATGCACGGCTCAGAGATGGCGAGCGGCCGTGGGGGTTTGGGGGGGGGGGATACCGTCTCGTCGTGCCGTGCGGCGCGCCCTTGCTGTGTAGGCCCGGCGCGGCCTACACCGCGGCTGCCTCAGAAACGAGACCCCCCTCAGCTCTGCCGATTAAACGCCAAATGTTTGTGTCGAAGCCATCGCTGATGCACGTACGAACTCCCCCTCCCAAACCGTGTGGCAGACGAGGTGTGTAAAAATATACTTATTTATATATATTTACGCCAAGGTCCGGATACGTGAAAGAGGCTACTGTTTTGCGCCCGTTACATTGAGTGAATTGCGAGCCCCTTTATTAATTTTCGTGACTTGTCTCGCTTTCCTATACCTTGTACTCCTGTCGGTTTTTGTATTGTAACTTTCTGATCCGCGCCTGCCGGACATCTGTGAAAAGATCTTCACAGCTCATTGGATTATTTCAGCCTACGTAAATGAGTGCTGCTACACAACGCCCACACGCTCGTGGCCTTCAAAGCAATATCGCCAAAGATACCTGTACACAAGCTAATGAAATAACCAGACAACTGTAATGGGACCGCATAATCATTTGCGAGTGGCCATATAAATAGACGGCGGGAAGAGGCCAGCAGTGGATTGTACATTGCCACAGAATGGAGCAGCTGCTTAGCACGTGGAGGCTCAGGCGCGCGTAGCTGTGCACGGTGAATCGCACAGCTGCAGGTCCACGAGCCGGCACCGACGCCACCACCTTTGTATTGCACACGACAGGAAACCCAACACGACACGTTCGCCAAGAATTCTGTCTTCACGGGGAATGTATGTAATAGGCGACGTTTCGGTCTCAGCCCAGAGATAGGAGATACGATTTGGAGACTGCACTTTAAAACATGAGGCCTGATAAGAATTACATTTAAAAACAACTTTCCTGATCCGTCTTTAAATCGGTACGTGCAGAGTTATATGTTAGTAGGCAATCCAAATCGTTGTACTTTTATTTTAAAGCAGTGCTATTGACGAACGCTTTTGCGTTTTTTATTTGTCTTTGTGTACTACTGCAAACGTAGTTTTGGTAAAAAAATATATCAACTACCAGTTAATAAGTGTAAGAGTTATTTGACCATGCTGGTCACAGTGAGGGTTGGTGAAAGCTAGTCGCATTAGACATGTGAGCATACTACATTACAGAAATGGAGCGTGCTGCATCGGCCTCTGCTGCCTGCAATGTAGAGCCGCAGCCTTGGTGGTTTCTTATGGTGGTTGCCCGTGCAGGCATTGTGCATGCTCAACTTTGCTTAGCTTCAGTGATCTGCCAAGATGCATTCTGGGTGATTTGGTCATTTTCACATCCTTGTGTCCATGCCTGCTAAATTAATGCAATTATATGTAGATAGCAACTTAACCCATTCCGTATAAATAATACCATATTACATTACAGAGCACATCCCAAAATGATGAAAGCGGATCCATTTGTGATGTGCATTGCTGATGTGGTCATTAGTCTTGAGTTGTATGTTAGTTATTGAGATATATGCTGTGCTAAAGCGGTTATATGTGTTGTGAGAGGGGTGTGTGTGATTCTTTGAGATAGGTACTGTGTTTAATCAGACGTGCGGTGATTCTTGTTCCTTACAGAAGCAGGACCCCAAGGGCGGCCCCACACTGTCTGCCCACCCGCACGCTTCTCCCCCGATGACAAGTTCTCGCGCCACCGTATTATGCTGAAGCGCCGCTTCGGATTGCTGCTCACGCAGCAGCCTCTGCCCGTGCTGTAAGGCACGTGGGGGCTTGGCAGGTTGGGCACCACCAGAGATGGCTCACTCTGGGGGGAGGTGACCAACTGAGACGACCATCCTGCACAATTGCTTGCTCCGCATTTCCAGGAAGACCGCCAAGCAACTCGGTGGCACAAGAGAAGCCCGGCTTGGTTCCAGCATTTACCCCCCCCCCCCCACCCAGGCTGGTTCCCAAGCCTGTGTGGTGTAGGCCTGGACATACTGCTGTGGAGTCATGGGCCATGGTAGACCGGTGGTATTGGCAGGGTCTATTTTCCCAGGCCAGTGCCAATCACTCGATCACCCTGCTCAATTACTGGAGACAGAACGGGAGTTTTTAAACCTGTGGTGTCTGTGCTCCCCTGCATCTGGTAATGTGTGTGAACCCTTTTCTGTGCCACCCCCTCATCCCGGATGGCTGTCTTGGGCCCACAGTGGTTGGCAGACCCTGCTTGAGAAGATCTGTACATGAAGCCCCTTCACCAAAACACAACTTAATTTAAGAGCAGAAGCAAAGCAATGCAGTGTACATCACAAACTCAATGTGTAAGATTACATTGAATTATATACGTGATTTGTGGGATTTTAAATAAAAATATTACTGGTGTCACGAGTTTGTCTCATTCTCACTTGAATCGTAAATGTTACTATTGGTGCAATGTGTAAACTTTATCATTTAATCGTAGTGTTAAATGGCAATTGGTGAATGGGTAACTATTCCTGGTTCAAAAAGTCAGGCAGAATATTAAGATTATTGTACCGATTGGCTCGCGTGAAAAAACCTGTAACGGGTCCGTTTTTGGCATTATTACACGGCATATACCACAGTAAAGTATGGTGCATAGCATTGGCAGCACAGCACATCTGAGGATGCAACAGCAACAAAACAGTTAAGGCTTCTGCAGGGTTTTCAGCATTTCGTTTTCTTGTACCAGGAGAAGACAGATGAGCAGGGTATTAAAAATCACATCCCACAATGAATAGGCTGCAAGTGAAAGGTCTTCAATAAAAAATTCACTCGTGGCTAAAGTCCCATGAAATCCCGACTACGCAATGTTCAGATAGTTGTCATCGGTAGGCAGGTGAAACTACCTTTGTAACAATTTCATCCCATATCAAACCGCCATCGCAAAGCTGCAGTCAATGCTGCTCCACTTATAACTTAGGTAAAATAATTCATGTCAAGACTCAACAGTTTACCTACTCAAGACGTATCCATATATAAAACAACCTCCACCTGATCGTCCAGACTTAAGTGCAGTTGCAGCTAGCATTACGCATACAGCCAAAACACTGCCACATGAGGACATTAGACTCAGAAGAATGTAGTTCGGAGACAAGTACTGACGGTTGAGAGGCCTGGGTTGGAACCTTGCCTACTCCCTTTGGCCCTCAAAACATGCTCTCAATAAGTTGCCTCTCGTCTCGGCTGCTGCCTTACCTGGAAAGCTACGAAGAAAACCCACGTATAAACCACGTGCAAATACCGGTCACGAAACCTTTCAGGTTCATAATAAAAAATAAGTTAATGCTCTAGGTTAAATGCATCATGGGACCTCATTTGCCAGCACCAAAATAGAAATCATGTCTGCATTAAGGGACCGTGGTGATTTACAGGCAACGTGAGTTGAGCGTGGACAATTAGACCCGTAAAAAAGATTGTTTAAAAATATTTTTTTATGGTGGAATATAGTATTTCCATCAGTATGACATAAGTATACCAAGTTTGCAGTCGATAGCACATTGGGAAGTGGGTAAAAATTGAGTTACAAGATATTTTAAGGATACGACAACAGACGGAGTGACTTAAATAAAAGCGTGTAATAAAAAGGGAAACCCTATTCTCATGTTTTGGTACTGACAAAGGAGGTCCCATGATGTAGCTGCTCACCCCAAGCTCTCATTACTCTGATGGTGCGTTGTCTTTGTGCTGTACGCCTTTTGGCGTCCTCTGGTCTAACGCCATTTTGAGACTAGGCTCAACGAAAGCTATCTCTGGTGGACCAATCAGTTTCAAAGACAATGCATATATTATCAGAGTATGTTTTTGTTTGAATTCAGACCACAAGTATTGTGGTTACTGCAGACATGATTCCTTGTAAATGGTTTCAGTTTGGTGTTTTAACATCTCAACACCTGTTTTGTTGCCAGAAAAAAGGGGAAAACCAATTCTCATACTTTGAGCCAATTAAAGTAAATGCCATGCAAAATGAAATTGATGAATCCAATGTTTCCGAGCGCACATTTTATGATGGTGCTGCCACTGTGAGTCCATGGTCGTCTCGTCTGATCCGCTGAGGTCTGCGTTACATGAGATCGAGTGCCCTGGTCGCCAGAAGGTCAGCTTGAAGTCGTAGCGGAACAAGTGGTGGAATCAGGCATAGAGCAGGGGGTTGATGGTAGAGTTCGTGTAACTCGGCCACACAACCAGCTCCACGTGTTGGCGTTCATCGTGAAGTCCTTGAACGGTTCCACCGTGCCGACCGAGAAGTAGGGCAGCCAGAAGATATAGATGGCCAACGTCTTGGTTGCGTTGTGCTCGCGTTTTAACGACGCCCACTGTACCGTGATTGTCCCACCGGACGCCTTGGGTCCGCACGACTTGGAAGTGGCGGCACCGTGGACGGACCTGGCCCGTCGACGGGCAACCCCCATGACGGACATCGTCGCGACAAAGCAGTAGAGGGCATCGCTGACCCCGAAGTTCGCGTTCATGTGGACGACGCACTTGTCCGGGCAGGAGGCGCTGGCGACGGCATCCTCGATGTCGGGCGGCATGAGGCCCATCACGATGGGGGCGTTGTGGTGCATCACGACGAACCAGCGGCCCAGCGGCATGACGGCGGTGCGGCCGCGGCTCGCACGCTCCGCGTGGCGCAGAGGCTGGCAGATCGCCACGTAGCGGTCGTACGCAATGCTGCTCAGGTGCAGAACGGAGCTGGTGGCGAGCCATACAGCCATTCATCTCGGGACAATAATTACAATATTACATTTATATAATTTTGTCAGGCTCAAGACCAAACAAAGGGATGAATTTATCTCTTCATCTATTACCCTATAACCTCTCTATAACTGGGTTACATTGCCATTGGGGCAATCGTCAGTCCATTGATCTTACGGCGTGTCTACCGATCCATGAATATATAACATGATGATTTTAAATCATATATTAATTAACAATGCATCCAATAATGTATAATTCATTAACCAATCCATGTTAGATCGGAGGGCGACCTCCACGACGAGCGCACAGAGGTGGCTCTGTTAATGAGAGAAATTAGCATGTAATGTCGGCGCACGAGGTGGGTGAGAAATGTAACCTGTTAATGTAAAATCAGAGAGCCGCAAATAACAACTATCATTGAAAGGTAGGATGGAAACATCACAGCCAGTTATGACTTCAACTGGTTAATAACGTCCTTCGACTGATTGCTCAGTTTCTACCAATCTTCTCGGTTGAAATTGTGTCTGTGTCTATAAATATAGATGGCTTCATGAACTAATCTTTGTTGATAGCCAGTGGGTTTGCAAAGTACCTTCGTCTTGGATAAATCTATTTCGTGTGAGCCCACCGCATTAACACAATGACCAGCCACGGCCGAGGTGTTGGTCCTACCGTATTTCAGATCTGCCTTATGTTCACAAACACGGTCCGAGACATGTCGCTTAGTTTCCCCAATGTAACTACTGCCACAGACACAGCTTAGTTTGTAGACGCTGGGGTATTGCATGTCAGGGATCACATCCTTCACAGATAGGATCAGATCACGAATTTTATGTACTGTGTTAAATCGAACCTGGATCTTGTGTTGTTCATGATTTTGTAAATATTTTGGTGACCCCTGCTCAGTGGCGGCTGGTGATATTTATTTTTGGGGGGCACATTTTTTTTATTTTATTGAGGGGGGCAAATAAATATAAAGCAGTACCAAAAACCATTTTGACTACTTGAATATAAATTTTGATGATCTTTATTTACATTTCAGACCAAAAGAAGTACCAAAAAGCATGTTTCCTACTTGAACATAAATGTTTCTCTTTTATATACATTTCAGACCAAAGTACCAAAAAGCATGTTTCCTACTTGAACATAAATTTTGCTCTTCTTTCTTTCTGGCCAGCAAATTTCTCAACTACTCTCTGATTAAAGTCAGTCATCTCCGTAACAAGTCTCTTTTCCATGGACAGCAATGCCAGTGCATTCAGCCTCTCCTGGGTCATGGTGTTTCTGAGAAAAGTTTTTATTCGTTTCAAGGTTGAGAAGCACCTCTCAGCTTCAGCCGTGGTCATGGGTGTGGTAATGATAACTTTTAGGAGAGTCACAGTTTCGGAAAAGACTTCTTCGAAATTATTCTCCATAAACAGCTGGAATAGGTCCACAGCACCACGGCAGGCTCTGAACTCTTCCTTGCTGTAGATGAGACTGAGCTCCGTCTTCAGCTTGCTTCCACTGAGCATCGGGTACGCTTTCATGGTGCTGCTCAATGCATCTTCAGGAAAGGTATCCTTGTACTCATCAAACCTGTCCCCCTGCAACAAGGTGGCACAGACAAGGTGGTCTGTGAAGGAGAAACGCTCCCTAGTGTGTCCAGGATTGTGTCACAGACCTATAGAGATAATTAAACAAATAGATATATAAATGTAAGGTAGTAGCCTGGAGTAGACCACTAATTGTCACAGTTGCAATTACTTTCAAAAGAAAAATAGAGCCATTTGAGTTTTTGTCCCATACAAGACTGTAGTTTTTGGTGGCTTCAAATTTCATTTGATCATTTATTTTTATGTTGCCAATTTATTATTTTTGGGATGCTATTGTATATTAAAATTAAGATTTTTGTTAGGATTTATACCAAACTAAAAATTTTTCTTGAGTCTGTAGAATATGATATGTAGGCAGGACATCTCTGCAGCACAACAATAATGTAAAATGGTATTTTGACTGATTTCTATGACAAACTCACCTCTGCTGCAATCCTTTCACGGTCTTCCGAACTGAGCGC